GCGGACGCGATTACGTATCGCTGCAACGGGCCGACCCGCTCCATGAGGCGTCTACGTATTAATGTCTATGGTCACGACATGGTGACAGTTTTAACAAATAACTGAAATAACATGATTATAACAGTGACGTACTGCAGCTTTAAGCCTGAGCCATCTTGACTCCGCCCCCAGCGGTCAGCCAGGTTCCGGTTCTGGTACCGCTCTTGCTGTTCTTCTCTTTGTTAAAGGCGCCATTGTTGTGTTATCGCAGCCTGGACCCAAGCAGAACCTTCCAGAACCTTCTGGTTTCGGTTCTAAAGAATCAGAAAGATGTCCGTGCTGTCTACATCTTTCTCATCCTCTTCATCAGGTAACGCGCCGTTTCTGCTGCTGTTTGAGCGGCTCCGGTGTTCAGCGCTCACCGGGCTCAGGTTGTCTGCGGTTAGCTGCCCGCAGCGCTGCCTGATTAAAACACGGTTCTCCTTTAATGGATCCCAGATGGTTCTGGGTCCGCTGGGAGGTTCCGTCGCAACCAGTTTGGGTCCGGTTGTGAAACTGAGGAAGCAGGTTTAATTCATTAAAATTTATTTAAACTTAATTCAGGGAGAGAGAGAGAACAAATAATATCCCAAAATAGAAAAATTCCTGAGTGAAAACAGATAATCCCCGTTTCTCCTGATGGGAAACGGGGATCTGAAACACGAGCAGCTGGGACAGAAATCAGCTTCAACTAACATGAATCCAGTTTAAGTTTAAACAAATTCAGTCAAAACCACATCTGATTTGCTCTGGGTTGGACTGCTGGTCAGAGGTCATGGCTGGTTCTGCTTGACCTGCTTCCTGGACCCAAAACCTCTTGTCTGTCCGAATGAGCAGAAAGTTCTGGATCAGGTTCTGCTGATGGTTCTGACTGAACCAGAACAATGGCCCAGTTAAATCCCAGGACTGACGGATGTTTTCCTCATCATTTTCTGACGAGTGTACAGTTTTTAAATATGGTTCAGTTTAGGTTTAAACAGTCAAATACTAAAATCATGAACAAACAGCTTTGATGGGTTAAAAACGCTGCAAGGAATCAGATCTCGAAGAACTTTGGTGGAAAAGTTTTCATACCCGCAATATTTACAGTTTTCATTTTCATGTGGACTAAAACATGCAGAGGTTTTATTTGTGTATGAACGGTTGAAACTTGCGGCTCTCCCTGTCCTTCCAGAATCCCGACCGGACCGGGTTCCTCAGCAGGAACCAGAACCTTTGCGGGTCAAGGAGGAGTGGGTGGAGGTCCGGGTCGGTGAGGAGGAGCGGGAGGTTCTGAAGCAGGAAGTGGAGCTCCTGGAGGTTGATGGGTCTGACCAGAACCAGGTCCATCCAGCAGAACGTCTGAGGATAGGTGAGTGACACCAAGGGGTTCTGAAGGAACCAGAGTTCTGCTGTCCGGTCCATTACACACCTGGACCTTAAAGTTCTGCTTTTAATTTGAAATGGACACATTTCATTACCTGCCATAGTCTTTAGATACCGACCCGGTACCGTCCACCAGGATGAAGCGGTTCTGAAGGTTGAATAGTACCAGTGAAGATGGAACCAAAGGGTCCATTCGGTTGGTTCTGTCCCAGAGGGAGCAGAAAACAACCTTCACTCATGTCTCATGCCGTCTCTCTTCTCCTTCAGAACCTGAACCGCTACCGGGTCATGATGAGCTGGAACCGAACGACGCGAAACCTCCAGAGATCAAAGAGGAAGAGGAGGACCAGCAGGAGGACGAGGGTCAGTTGGTGCTGAAGCTCCGCCCAGGTGAGCCGCCCAGGGCACTAAGCACTGGGTACCAGACCGGATCCGGTCCATCGGACCGATAAGCTGATAGATTCCAGTAACTTGCTAAGCAGGTGTTTGGTTCCTGGTTTTCTTTTTTCTTCCAGAACTCCCACATCAACATTCTCATCAGGATGTAGAGGTTCTAACCGACCAGGACAGAAACTGCAGTCTGGACCAGGAGGAACCAGAACCTTTACAGCCCAGCAGAAACAATGACTCCATTCCACAACCAAAAACTAAGAACAGAGAACCACCAGCATCTTGCTTACAATGTGGGAAAACGTTCACCAGGAAGAGCACCATGCTGGACCACCTGAGAACTCACACCGGGGAGAAGCCGCATTCCTGCGGCCACTGTGGGAAGAGTTTCAGCAGAAAGGGAAATCTGTTGGTTCACATGAGAAGTCACACAGGGGAAAAGCCATGTGTGTGTTCGGTCTGTGGGAAGGGTTTCAGACAGAGGAGCAATCTGATGGTTCACATTAGAACGCACACGGGGGAAAAACCATACTGTTGCTCAGAATGTGGGAAGAGTTTTAGTCAAAGGGGTTGCTTAGTGTGCCACATGAAAACTCACACAGGAGAACGGCCATTTTCCTGTCAGATATGTGGGAAAAGTTTCCGGCATAAATCCAACTTGTTTGTTCATGTCCAAACTCACACTGCTGAGAAACAACATTCCTGTGAAACCTGTGGGAAGTGTTTTTCCCTGCGTAAAAATTTGATGAAACATACGAAAACACATTCATCTGAGAAACCACATTGTTGCAGAACATGTGGGAAATGTTTTGCTATTCGCCACAATCTGAAGCAACACATGAGAACTCATGAGCCTGAGAAGCCATATTCCTGTAAGACATGTGGGAAAAGCTTCAGGCACAAACAGGTTCTAGAGTTTCACATGATCACGCATGCAGAGAAAAAGCCTTACAGCTGCTCCAAGTGTGGGAAAGGTTTCAGCCGGAAGTTCATCCTAGTGAGCCACAGCAGAACTCACACAGGTGAGAAGCCTGTTTCTTGTAAAGTGTGTGGGAAGAGCTTCTGCCACAAGTATTACTTAACCCGTCACATGAGGTATCACACTGAAGTAAGCACTCAGCATCATCCCTGTGCAGAATGTGGGAAAACTTTCAACCGCAAAGGGACCATGCTGCGACACATGAAGACTCATACAGGTGAGAAACCCTATTCCTGCCCGGAATGTGGGAATAATTTCAGCAGAAAGTCCAACATGTTAGTTCACATGAGAACTCATACAGGAGAGAAACCATCTCTGTGTCCAATGTGTGGGAAAACTTTCAGACAAAACAGTAATTTGTTGGTTCATATGAGAACCCACACTGGTGAGAAACCACATACATGTTCAGAATGTGGGCAGGGTTTTAGTAGAAGGTATGCCATGTTGACCCACCTGAAGTCCCACACAGGGGAGAAGCCTTTCTCTTGCAGAATGTGTGGGAAGAATATTCGTCATAAGAGTAACTTGTCACGCCACATGAAAACACACACCACTGGTAGATACGTTCTGGAATGATATCAGAAGGAAACGGTGTCTCTTCTGTACTTCCTGTTTCCTCTGCCAGCAGGAAAAAGGAATCTGCAGGATCTTTGGGAAACTAATATGTTGAGACGATACGGACGAATGCCTCCTTTGAGTTTTGCTTATATCTATCCCATTAACCTGATGGTAAAAAGAAAACTCATCCATGTGTAAGCTAGCTGCAGTGTTGTGTATAAAGTTAAAATGCCTTGTTTAATCTGAGTGTCATTAAACAGATCTTCAAGTGAAGCCTGGTGTCTCCTGGTTTTCTCTCTGTTGTTAAAGATCCTGGAACCAAACATGAGCAGAACCTCCAGGACGGAGCTGAGTCAGAACCTGGCATTGAAGACTGGGTCCAGAAACTGTCCCTGTCCCAGCAGGTCATGTTGCCACTGGACTTGACTGGGTGATTTCTGCAGGGAAACTTATTCCCTGATGGTAAAACCTGAAATGGACCGAACAGAACCTGCTGACAGCAGGGATGGAAATGACTTCTCTCAGTAAATTTCTGTTTCTAAACAATCTGATTGGATGCTGGAAAAGACTATTGTTGTGCTAACAGCAGTTAGCCTATCCTATCAGAGAAGCTATGCTAGCCTAAAATAGCATCTGAATGCTAACATGTAGCAGCTAATGCTACATGTAAGAATCCACAGTCCAAATTTCTTTGAAGCTCCATGAACGATCAGAGAAACTCAGAAAAACGAACTTTGGTCCAATCTGATGAAGAACCTGAAGATTAAAAACTATAAACATTTCTGCTGCTCATTTAGCAGTAAAAAAGGTTTTGACCTGAAATTAACTTGATCAAACATTGAACTAATTATGTTATATTTCATGGGTTCTTTCTGGGACCGGACCAGGCCAGAACTAAACTCCAGGTTCTGCTTGAGCTAAAGGTAATCTATCGGTTCTACCCGGTTCTGTTCAGAAATTAGTTTATGTTGGAGGCAGGAAGTGGACCGCAGAGCAGGATGTTTCTGGTTCTGGTTGGAATTGAACAGTCCAGATCCTGAAGCAAACTTTCTGGTCCAATGTTCTCTGAATGCTACGGTTCTGCTGCAGGGTTCTGAACCTCTCCAGTCCAAAGACTACCAGTGGTTCTGGAGCTGCAGGTTTAGAATCCTGGTCTCTTTAAACTGGGACAATATGAACTATTCAATCATAACTGGGTCCAAACCGGGTCCAGAACAGAACCATGGTCCCAAACAGCAGCAGATCCAGATCAGGCTGGAAAACAGAAGGTCAGAGGTCATCTGGACTGACAGGAGACACTGAGATTAGCTGTAAGCAGTGAGGGGTGATGGCATGTTGGACAGGGACAAACCAGCGGTTCTGTTGGATATTTGAACCAGAACCTGACTCTAAACAGATCAAGATGGAGATCAACGAGACTCTGAGACCTGTGGTGACGAGGTCAGCCATCGTCTTCAGAACCCAAACTGGAACCAGCCCATTTATATTGTGTTTCCTTTGATGTGTCAGAACCACATGATAAACACACTGCAGAACCAGAACTGACTGGCAACACGTCCTGCTCCTGCTGTGATCGGCAACGCGGTCCAGCAGTGGCCATATTGGATCAGCTGGTTCAATCGGATCCAGCAGGACAGAGAGCTAGCATGCTATGCTACCTTAGCAGAACTCCCACAGACCAGGTGAGATGATACCGAGGAATTTGGTCCAATTAAAACCCGATTCATAACTAAATATCAAAGCAAACCCAGAAACCCACTGTTTTCTAGCTGCTGACCAGATCAGATAAAATTACTCATTCAGATTTTAAATGTCTGTTAGCAAACATGAAGTTGAGTCAGCGATGAAGATGCAGTGGTGGGAGGAGGAAGAGGAGGAAGAGGAGGAGCTGATCTGTCCCTGAACTCTAGAGACTCAAACTTCCTCCTTCAGCTCAGCTCTCCAACATTAACTCTGCTCAACATGCTGTCTCTGCTCACATCTGGATTCTCTCTGCTGGTTCTGATCACTGGATCAGGTTGGTTGGAGTCTTTCAGAGAATAATCTGATCCTTGTTGTTCTTCACTTATATCACTTTTTTCTTCCTTCAGCTGTAAACTGTCAACAACTCACTGCAGGGAAGACTGAGGAGTTCAGTTCAGAGGGCAGCTCTGCTACTCTGACCTGCAGTTACACCAAAGATTCAGCTGATTATTTATTCTGGTATCGACAAAATCCAGGAAAACATCCAGAGTTCCTGAAGTCTCACTCACCTTCAGGTGGAGCAGAAAGTCTGGACAGGATGACATTTAAAGGAAGCAACGAAGAAATGTCCATCACGATCTCCTCTGCTGCAGTGACAGACTCTGCTGTGTACTACTGCGCTGTGCAGCCAACAGAGACAGGAAACACCAGAACCCTGGACAAAAACCTGCAGTACTCAAGAGCAGCCACTAGAGGGCCTCACTCCCTGTTAAAACACTAAAACCTGCAGTACTCCACAGCAGCCACTAGAGGGCCTCACTCCCTGTTAATCCTCTGGTTGTTGAGTCTTTGGACTGAAGACAACAGAGACATGAAGCAGTAAAGATCAGAGACAGAGCTGCTGAGGAAGCAGAAAACTCTCTGATTGGTCGAGTTGAAGTGGCCCCGCCCACTGACCTTCAGCTCATCCAATGACATCATTTCGTCCTCCTTTGTTAGTCTCCACTTTTTCTATAACTAATTACGGGAGATAATCTCTGCTGTTAGAGAAGAACAACCTGTCCCACTCAGCTGTTACCAGGAGACAACGTCTCCGTTTCCCGTCCTCCACTTGTCCAACTGGTCTGACCTTCAGGCTCCCCGGTTTCTGTTCTTGAAGCGGATGTTTGAGTTCCTCCAGGAGCCTCATACATAAAGCTGCGTGCGCACAAAAAAAGTGCGGTCCCATATTTTTGCACAAGTCGGCATGTATAAAAATTTACTTTGTGTCAAAGTGTGTGTAAATATATGTACATGTTTTCACTGGCATGAAAATGTGCAGCAGCCACACAAACTTTTTCTGTGAACAATAATAAACCACAAACGTCAAAACTCACATAAATACACTGAAGTCTGACCACATTCAGTTATTTAGACCAAGAAGCACCAAACTGATGTTTTTCATGATTTTAATATTTTATTGTTTGATTGTAAACGATGAAACTGAACCCCATTTATCCCCAGACAATAAAATAACACGATCACAAAATAAAGAAAATAAAAATAAAAGGATGTGAAAACCTCACTAGAATGTAGACAACACTTTTCCTCAGTTTTTGTCTCATAAAGATGTAACGCATCGGTCTACGAAGCGCATGAAATGCATCACGGACCGGGTTCTTTTGGACTGAACCAGTCCTAAACATGCTGCCAGTCGTTGTTCATTAGTTTAAGGAAAGGCTGAGCCACGGTTCAGGGGCCTCATGCATAAATGACTGAACAGTTTTCACACTAAAACTTAGCGGGAAAAATTTAGAAAAGTGTGGCGCACAAAAAACATGGGATGCATAAAGCTGTGCGCATCTTTCCTTTATAAATCCTAATTTGCGGTCAGTAGAGCAGCTGCTGGTCGCCTGTCGCCATAGTTAACATTTTTAACTGAATAAACATAATAATGACCTTTACATATAATAATAAACATTTCCACATATCATCTCCGATATGTCAGCTGTTTGGGATTCCCCTCTGTTCTGACGTCACCGCGCCTTCTGATTGGCTCCCTGTCACATTCAGCAGGTTGTATTCTCGTTCCCAGTCAGGGAAAACCCCACAGGCTGCGATAAAAGGGCCAAGACAACCAAACTGGGTATATTCAGGATTTAGCGGGAACACCAACATGCAGCAGCTTTGTCTGAAGGATCACACCCCGGGCCGCAGCTAAATTTCCAAGTCTTGACCGGTCCGTGGTAATAAAAAGGTTGGGGACCACTGACCTAAATAACACCAACTGTAGTCAGATTTCAGTGCATTTATGTGAGTTTTGACGCTTTGTGGTTTGATATTGTCCACAGAAAAAGTTTGTGTGGCTCCCGCACAAGTGTGCGTATCTTTACGCACACTTTGACACAAAGACAAAGTAAATTTTTATACATGCCGACTTGTGCGTAAAATATTGAATCTGCAATTTAACGTATTTACCTCACATCTAATTGTATATATATCTTTAATTTGAATTTTGACTAAACAAAAAGCAAAATACCCAAATGTACTTTGACTAGTCATCTGAAATGTTTCAGATAGTAATTTATTGTAAATATCTTGAACTAGAAAATTAAATTTATTCTGGTCAGCTTGTAGAGATTAAATTTACTAATATTTTGGCACAAACTAGTTTCAAACATCTGGAGAGTAAGTTACGTGAAGCAGATTTTATTGAAACAGCTTGCCATAAGGTTTTTCCCAGTTACTGATGACATCACCACAGGACAGGCTGCTGATTCGATGATGGTGCAAACAGGAAGAACCACCAATTAGTGTCCAACTTCTCCACAAACTTTATTTCTAGAGATGTTCTACAGCACAGAACCAGAACATCTAGAGTAGAACACATACCAGAGCTCACATGAATACAATCAGAAACATAGAGGCTAAATATTAGAACAGGCACACGATAGAAAACATTCAGAGTCCTCTGTAAAGAAACTGGATGGAATAAAGGTTTAAATATTTGAATGAGCGTCTCTGGAGGAGCTGCTCCAGCTTCGGTCCTAGAAACCCAGATAGGATATCCAGAACTTTCTGAGTTTTCACTGAAACGGGTCCAGATTAAAACAGAACCTGCAGCTTCTACTGGAGCATTTCTGAAGGAACCACCCACACAATAAAACACACCGTCTGCTGGTTGCCACGGAGACCAACACAGCCTGTGGGCAGCCATTACTGTCCAAAGAGCGGCTCGGGTTTCTAGGCTCATCAGGACAGGATCGGTTCTGCTGGGTCCAAAGTCCTGATGAGCTGAAGCCTTCCTGACCTCCAGGCCAGACAGAAAACATTTAACCAGAACTGATGATATTACACTGAAACCGTCAGCCGACGATCCCCGGTTCCAACCCGGATCAGACCCGGATCTGACTCTGATCCGACCCGGATCCGACTCGGCTCAGACCCGGATCCGACTCTGATCCGACTCGGCTCAGACCCGGATCAGACCAGGATCCAACTCGGCTCAGACCCGGTTCCAACCCGGTTCTGACTCGGCATCATGAAAGTTATTTTGTAGAATTTATCCACCATCATGTTTGTTCTCTTCTCTGTACCTGGATGTCAGGTTCTGGTTCCCAGCCGGGTTGGAGGTCCGAACCTGTTCATGGCTTTGTGAGTCCAGAGGTCCACGTCATCTCCTAGACATTCATTCCTGTAGAGGTTCTGCTGCAGGAACCGACCCATCTGCCGGTCCTGCTCGGCTCTGTGGGGAGTCGAGGCAGGAAGGGGCGGGGCTTCAGACCGATGAGCGCTCAGGGTGTTAGCGTAGCGCTGCAGGTCAGGCTCGGTTCGGTTCCAGCTTCCTCCTGCCACCCTGAACAAGGCACTTAACCCCAGGTTGCCTCCTGATGTCTGGGGTATAAATGAGTGAGTCCGGTTCTGGTTCAGTCCATTTGCCTCAGAGACAGGAATGTCAATGTAAACAGGTCAGAAGCAGAACCTGGTTCTGGCCAGATTAGTGTCAGCAGAGCAGAACCACCTTGGGCGGTTCCCCTGACCTGAATGTGTGCTGGTTCTGGTTCTAGGGTCCAACTGGACCACCTTTCAGGGCTGGTCATTATTTACATTTATTTATACAAACTGTAAGCTGTGGATGACTGGAGGTTCTCCACTGTCTGGTACCGGAACCACGGCTCCTTTCTTCACTGAAACATTTCATAACTTCCTGCTGAGCCTCAAACTTTGGAAATATCTGAATCATTTGTCCGTCTCTCTGATCGAGTTGAACGATGATCTTAGAGCTCCACAGCTAGAAGTCTACAAGCTCACCACTCCGGTCATTCGGGTCCAACTGAACCAGAACCAAACTAGTGATGCTCAGATGTGACCCGCAGCAGGACAGGTGGACCCGACGACGAGCTCACCTGGTCGGTCCAGAGGAACGTGGAGGTTGGTGATCGTCGATCCTCTGCTGCAGTTTGATCAGCAGAAATCTGGACTTGGAGGAACTGGAAGACTGGAGGTTCTGACATGTTGACCAGGAGAACATTAACAACTCAGTAATGATTAAGAATCCAACATAATTATATGATAAACAGGTTTGCCATATCTCCCTCTCTGTGGTGAAGGTAGCATATGTAGCTATGCTAACACTGTTGCTAACAGCACCGCCTAATGGGCACGATGACGTGCTATATGGGTTCTGGTTCACCTGGGCCCCCAGTAGAGACCACTGTAAGTCCATTTGGTCTCAGAACTGGGTTCAATCAGAACCAGGTTCAATTTGACTCATTATGCAAAGGATAAACTTCATATTGATCTTGGGTCTAGACCTCTGCTCTCTATGGTAGATCTAGACCTCCTCCTCTATCTGAGACCGAGACCTCTTCTCTCGGGTCCAGTCCAGGTGAAAGTTCTTCATGTGACACATGAGGTGGCTGGACTGCCGGAACGTTCTTCCACACAGCTTGCAGGAGTACGGCTTCTCTCCAGTGTGGGTCCTCATGTGGTAGCTCAGCCCTGTCCCCCGACTGAAGGTTTTGTCACACACCTTGCAGGTGAAGGGTTTCTCTCCGGTGTGCATCCTCATGTGGATGTTCATGGCGCTGCGCCTGACGAAACCCTTTCCACACACCCTGCAGGGGTACGGCTTCTCGCCCGTGTGGGTCCTGACGTGGCAGGTCAGGGTGTTGCTCTGGCTGAAGCGCTTGTGGCAGATGTGGCAGGAGAAGGGCTTCTCGCCCGTGTGCCTCCTCAGGTGGCGCAGCAGGTGGCTGTTGAGGCCAAACTTCTCCCCACAGATCTGACAGGGGAAGGGCTTCTCACCCGTGTGGGTGATCATGTGGCGGAAGGCAGAGTCCCGCCGGGCGAACCGCCGTGTACACAGCTGGCAGGAGTAGGGTTTCTCCTTCTGGTGGGTGTCCCGGTGGTCGTGGAGCAGCAACATGTTGGAGAACCTCTTGCCACACGTCTTGCAGACGAACGGTTTGGGTTCGTCGGAGTCTTCGGACTGCTGGGAGCTGCTGGGTTCTGGCTCGCTGTGCTCACTCTCGTCGTAGTTCACCGTCACCATGAAGATGTCGGTCTCCGGTCTCTGTCCGGCCTGACCGGATCCAACTTCTTCCTGTTCCTGTTTGATCTGAGGATGGTCCGGTACCTTCAGGTCCAGACTGAAGTTCTGTTCCTGCTCAGCCAGAACCTCCTCCCCAGAGATGTAGTTCTGTTGGAATTCTGGAGAAACAGATAACAGAAATTAGTGATGAGCACTGCTAACTGAAACGTTAGCTGCACCAACTAAACAAACATTTTTCATTCAGTTTCACTCATTAATCCTACACAGATTAATAGCTACAGTTTTGAAAATCTAACTCTTGGTTTTCCTCCTGAAGCACTAAAACCATCCGTCCGCCAGAACGCTACGATTTTAGATCTGATCTCAGATTTTTTATTTGATGTCGTGTTAAACACTGATAAGGCCGTTACAGTTGACTTTTAAACATTCATGTGACACCAGAAGTGATGACCTTAATGTAGCTCTAATCTTGGACTCAACAGGCGTCAGGATCCACAGAGCCTCTGTGACGTTTGGCATCGAGCCTGAAGAACGAACGGCTTCCCCAGAGGACCTGTGCTGTCAATTAGTGCTACATGAAGGAAGTGAAACGAACTGGATTGAAAAATAAATTCAGGGAAAATTTTAAAAGTAATCAGCACCGATTTCCCTCATTTTGGGGTATCAGTGATCGGCCGATGCTTCCATGTGGAGCCGATCTTATTCACTGATCTTCTCTCCCTCAGCAAAGGTCTAAAATCCGCTGCTGTCCTCTGCTGCTCCGCAGGCAGAGGTTTGACTGTCGGCCACGCCCACCGGGTAGGCCACGCCCACCGGGTAGACCACGCCCACCGGGTAGACCACGCCCACCTGGACAGGTTCCAACGTTTGCAGTCATCAACAGTTGCCCCACTGTTGCCGACTCAGCGACTTTAGTTGCCTTAATTAGCAACTTGTCAGACAAAACTAACTTGGTATCGGCCAAAATCAGAATCTGCTTTTTAAAGATCTGCGATCTGCCAGAAAACTTCAACCTGTGCAGCAAAATGCTGAATGAAAATTGAGCTCTGGTGTTAGCGTTAGCATTAGCGTGTGCCTCAGGAAGGAGTGAAGTCAGCAGAAATCGCGGGTTTGGGTTTGGAAGGCTGTAAATAACGAGCAGCTCATCTGTGGCAGCCGGTCCAGAACCGACCAGAGACAGAACCGAACCCAGAATCCAAACGTCCTTCTGCTCATCAAGACTTAAACAGAACCAGCAGCAGAACCTCTGGAGCTGTTTGCTTTAACTGGTCCAGTTAGAAGTCTGAAATGATCTCAGTTAATCAGATTCAGCTCTGGGCTCAGGTTACTGTTCTGACCCGTGTGGATCATTTGGACCTGGATAGTGTTTTCATACCTGCTAGGCTGTCAGAACCTGGTACCGGTTCTTCGGTTTTGGATTTTCTCTGTCGAGGCACGAAGGTATCAAACTCCTTCCTCAGCAGCAGACCCTCATCATCGTGTCGGGTCCAGAACTCCACTTTCCTGGTTCTGTTCTGCGGTTCTGGTTCTTCCAGGCCGTGTTCTGTTTCTAGAAGTTCTGGTTCTTCCAGGTCATCCATGATCTGCGGACTTTCCGGGTCGTCCAGGTACTCGTCAAAGTCCAGGTATTCAAGCTCACCCAGGTCATCGATGATCTGAGGCCTGTCTGGTTCTGACAGAACCTCCTGATCGTCCAGGTTCTGGAAAGGTTCTGGTTCCTCCGCAGCTTCTCCTACATGTGGAGCTCCTGGTTCCGGCAGAGTCTCTGTGAGCTGTGCAGGTTCTGGTTCTTCTGGGTCGGGTCTGATCAGAATGTGGTTTGGTTCCATTTGCTCCTCTTTGATGCGTAGAGGTTCTGGTTCGGCCCGGTCCAGACTGCAGGTACTCTCGTAGCCCGTTAGAACCTCCTCCTTACAAACGTGGTGCTGAAGATGTTCTGGTGGGACACAAGAAGGAAAATAATCATCATCCTGGTACCAAAGACACGTTACAGAACCAGAACTTGGTTCTGATGAATATGGACCCAACTGCACCGCTCTGCTCCAACCCACCTGGTTCTGATTGGGTCACCTGGTTCTGCAGAACTGGACAGAACCTTCAGAGAGGTCTTCAATCTCTCTGAGGTCCAGTTCCACCAACAGAACCCTGAATGCACCAGAACCAGGCAGAACCACCACCAGAAGGTGGCAGTAATGGACCGAGCTTCTGCTGAGCCCAGCGGTACCTGAGGTTCTACTGGCTCAGTTCTACCATTAGTAACTTCTGGACCGGTTCTGTTCTGCGTCTGCAGCTTTAACTGGACCAGAACCCGTCTGGAGGTTCTGAACACACATCAGAACTTTTCACTGCAGGAAGACGGGCCGGTTCCCTCAACTGGGTTCTGGACTGTTCTACGACCAGAATCAGAACATCCGGGCTCCAGGTTCTGAACTGATCAAGTCTAACCAATAAGCATTGATCTGAAGACGGTGATGTCATAGCTCCATCTGTAACCTTTGACCCCGAGTGCATGGGACAGAACAGCTCCAGACTGTTGTCATGCGTTTCCATGGCGACCATGTTCTAACACAGACATGGGATGACACCAGAACATCTGCCCCCCTTCAGGTGTGGCATCGTCATGGCAACACCGGAACCGACCGAACAGCCTCCAAACATGGCGGACGCGTCAGTGAAGGATGAAGTTGTGGATCCACAGCGGAACCAGCGGAGTGACGAAGCTGAGCAAAACACCAGAAACACGATGACGTCATCATCATCATTATTGTTATCGTCACGCCTGCTGCTGGTTCCGTCACAGAGGGAACGATTACTGAAATCTGAAGTCAGTTATTGTAGAGGTTTATTAAACTGCTTCGTCTGCAGTGACATCCGGTCTGCTGCAGAAATATGATTTTTTGTTATTCCAATTAGCAGCAGAGAAAGTCCTGATTCTGGTCCAGGTTCACCTCCAGGTCCAGATCTGGTTCTGGCCGCTGGAACCAGAAAATGTTAGAAATTCATTATTAAACTTAGCCACACATCATTATTATTATTGATAATAAAGAATCATTTGGACCCGGTCCAAACTGTGGTTCCTTTAACCCGCCGGACCGTGAAGCGCCTGGTTCTTTAGTTCCTACTGAACCAGCTGGACTCTGAACCGAACCAGAACCAGTAGTACCGTTTCTGGTAGAAAACCTCTGCTTCCTCCCCACGGTCCGGTCGGACCCAGAGAACCACCAGAACCTACCGATCCTGTGCAGCCGGACCTGCGGCTTCAGGCACACCGCCAGCAGCTTGCGCTGCGCGTCCAGCTCCTCCTCGAAGCGGCCGATGGTCCTCTCCACCTCGGAGAAGATCTCCTCGGCCGCAGCGGTCAGTCTCTCCCGGATGAAGTCTCTCAGAGGCTGGACGGAACACATTGTTACTGCCGCAGCTCGGATGTTCCGCTCCGGTCCAACAGAACCACCGTCTCTGCCTGCTCGGGCCGCACAAAGGAAGCTAACTGCTAGCAGAAGCTAAACTTCCGCCGGACCCCAGAGTGAGAGCTTCCGGAGGGATACGTCAGCGGCGCCGCCATCTTGGAGGAGGAGAAACGGGTCAACGATATTTTAGAGACGCCAAAGAACCGCAATTTGGACCGGAATAAACCTGTTTGGGGCTTTTATTTAACAAAAAAGCTTGCCTGCTCACCTCACAGCAATAAACAATAAAAATGAGGTTAACACAGCAGCTGATTCATATCTGGAAAGCCTGACAGTAAAGATGATGTTCATGTGAGTGAAAGCAGGAGCAGATCCTCCAGGAGCAGAGATGAGGATAATTTGTTCCACATGCAGATCAGTGATGAGGCTGGGAGTGATTCCGCTACCCTCCCCCTCTCTGGTGCAGTCTAATTCCTGCCACCTGTGTCCCATTATCTCTGCTTCCTGTTTGTTCCTGAGCTTCCCCCCAGCCCCTCTTCCCCTTCCTCTGATTGTGGACAAATGAACCCGCTGAGCTCCGGTAGAGGCTGCTGGGCTGATTTTAGACTGCAAAGATGAGGTGAGACGTTGGAGGCCCCGATTGGATCTGAACAGAACCAGAGAAACATCCAGATCTGATGGCTCCTGAGAACCTGAAACTGTAACCACTGATTGTCCTCCATACTTCCTCTGATCTGTTGAATTGTTCTTTATCGAACATGAATACTGTTAACAACACAGAACCAGAACTTCAGCTGATTAGTAGACCATTAAAAAATAAGACTGGCTCCAGCCTGGCACCCAGCAGTAGGTTTCACTGAGGGTCTGCAGAGCAGCTCCTCTCATCATACAGATCAGAAAGCTGAGTTTGAGCTCCTCTCATTCGAACACCTTCAGCATGTGTGCTGGCCTTTAACTAGACCACTTCTTAATGCAAATGGTGGCATCTGTTTTTTTTAAGGTTGTCTGATTAAAATGGACTTTCAGGTTTTATTTCTAAAGCATGTTAGAAACCATGTTTTAGACTGGAGTACAACAGAGGGAAAACTCAGGAATAATATAATAAACTGGAGCATATTGCTGGGACAGAACTGGTCTGGTTTAAATCTGTCCCACAGATTCCAGTTTGTTTTCTTCTTCACACTCCAGGGATACTTATGGAGTCCCACAGGGTTGTGGCTCGATCCATTTCTCTTCCAGTCGGTGAGATGATGTCAGCAGGCTGATGGGCGGAGCCAGCCTTCCAGAGAAGTCAGCTTCCTGCCAGACTGGGTAGAGCTGGCAGGAAGGCTGCAGCGACTCGGAGAAGATCTCTGTCCCACTGAGCGCAGCAGCAGAGTCTCCTCCTACAGACTGCAGAGCTGCTGGACTCCAGCTGTGAACCTCAGTACATTCCATCTGTGGAAACATGGAAAACCTGGCTGTGATCTGCTTCTTGGCTGTCCTTGGTCCGTATGTTTCTGAGCAGAAACGCTGGAAAACAAAGACGTTTCCAGATCATTGCAGATCCACGTTGGCTTTCCTTTCTGAAGATAACATGCTGTTTGATCCGCAGGTCAGAGCTTGGAAGCTGATATTACTGCCATCAGATCTGAAGTGTTTCCATCAGAGGGAGGCAAAGTCACTCTGTCCTGTAACTATTCAGTTAAAGCAGACAACCTCCAGTGGTATCGACAAGATCCTGGATCAGCTCCTCGCTTCCTTCTCCTTATAACTGATACTACAGATCCAACTGTGGTGAAAGCAGAACCTCCAAACGCTCGACTGACTGCAGGATTGAACAAGGAGAGAAACCGATTGGATCTGCTGATCTCCTCTGCTGCAGTGACAGACTCTGCTGTGTATTACTGCGCTCTGCAGCCCACAGTGACAGGAAACACCAGAACCCTGTACAAAATCCTGCAGTACTCCACAGCGGCCACTAGAGGGCCTCACTCCCTGTTAAACCACTAAAACCTGCAGTACTCCACAGCAGCCACTAGAGGGCCTCACTCCCTGTTAATCCTCTGGTTGTTGAGTCTTTGAACTGAAGACAACAGAGACATGAAGCAGTAAAGATCAGAGACAGAGCTGCTGAGGAAGCAGAAAACTCTCTGATTGGTCGAGGTGAAGTGGCCCCGCCCACTGACCTTCAGCTCATCCAATGACATCATTTCTGCTGCAGTGGAAGAATATTGCTGATCTGCTTGTTCTCTCAGTTTAACTTTGGGAGAGCTCCTGCGTCTCCTGTCCTTCGTCGTTCCGACCTTCAGGAAGGTTAATAGATAACCAACTGTCACCTGTCAATGTCCCCCTGGGAAAGGCGTTTAACCCCAGGTTGTCTGTGATCTGAGTTGCATGTGAATGTCTTTATTGGTGCAACTCCAGGTCCAGTGGAAGACGAATACATCGGCATTTCTTTGCTCTCCTGCAGACGATGGTGGAGACACAGATGATGTCATCTGATTTTTATGTGCATCTTGGTGGAAACAAGTTTACGGTTGAAATGGTCCAACAGCGAAAGGTTTTTTAATGAGGTGTGATTATTTCTACATACTGAATGTCATCAGGACAAGATCTAAAGTCTGATGACAGAAGTGGACAGGTCTGTGGATTCTTTGAGTAAAACCAACTGAGTCTAAGATAACAATGATGTTACATCTTATCACCCTCAGTGTCAGAATAAACATTAAAATGCCCCACTATAATAATCTTATCAGTATTTAACTCTAAGTCCCATAAATCTGATCTGAAAATAGAGAGTCAGTGTCTGGTGGACGATGCAAAGCTGCTTTGCAACTTGCCATTAGTAACTGGTCTTGTGTCAGATTAAGCTACCATTAGTCTGAATCTGAATGAGGAAACAAAGAGAAAAGCAGAAGCAGTTAGAGGCTGTTGAGAAAATAAATTTGAAATAAGCTAGTTTTAAAA